ACTGGAAAATGCATTTATTGACTTTATCAATTCTAAAAATTCTGAATTCTACTCAGACGGAATTAATAAGTTACCAACACGTTGGGAGAAATGTATTGAGAGTATGGGAAATTATTTTGATTAAAGAACATTGCTTTAAAGTAACTAGTTTCTTTTTTTTTGTTTAATACCAAAATCCTGCATTATTTTCCGGACAACCCAATATTTGATGATTGTAAAACTGTCTAATATTCGGAGTGGAAATTCACGCTGCATTAACCTAACAGTGAACTATTTTTAATAAATCGTTTACATTAAATTCATTTATTTGCATTTTATTAAGTAATTCTTGTTATTTCGAAAAAATCCAATTTTTTGGGACATCATTTTTAAAAATAAAACGCGAGTTTTTCAACATTCTGGAGTATTTATTAACATACAAATAAAAATAAACAGAATAAATAACCCTAGATAGGTAGATATTGATTATTTAGACATAAATACTGCTCATAACTTGTAGATGGTATTTTGTGTGCGCAAATATTGACCAACTGAATTTAATGTTTTTGTGTGAGTATTCGGATTGTGGTCAATTATATTACATGTTTTAAAAATGGGCAAGCTTTCTACTTCTTTATTTGGTCTTAATCAGGGCTCTACAGTACAGTAACAACATACACAGTTGATTATTTTTGGACAGATACATTTACCTACTTACATCATATGTGTAGTCTAAATCTAAATAATGATCATGAGGGAAGCCATGTGTAGTTAAACTAAATTATTATATTTTATATTTATAATGTTTATACAGCTTAGTTCAGAAAATAGTTAGTACCAGCCGGATGGTGAAACAATCTTAACAGTCATATTTATGTAATAGACATAATACTCCTAGTTTAAAAGAATATTGGTTTCAAAACCAAATAAAAAGGTAACATGCACATAATAAACAGAACCAGCATGGTATTTATAATAATATAAAACAATAAATAATTCATGCTTTATATATAATAAGAAAACATGTGGAAGGACTTAACACGTAATTCACAGAGGATATATCATAATGTGTGGTGATTAGTGACCGTTAATCGATATTTATTTAGAAATCGTGAGATGCGGTCTGGTGTGATGTAAGTTTCAGAAAAACATTTTCTTTACCATCAGCCTGGTCTCCCGCGCACTCTCTAGATAGAGAAGGNATTGTATAAATTCACTTTTCCACATCCAAAATGTAATTGTTATATTATTCTTATGTATGTCTTATGTTATATTATTATAAAGATTATTCACTTGAAATAAAATAGTTTAATACAGAGGCTTCTCTCATGAACAGTATTTCGATTTATACAAAATTTGATGTAAGTAGGTAAGTGTAATTATGAGTATAAAAATAATAAACTTTTTCTTTTGTTACTGTTCTGTAAGGACCTGACGAGGCCGAATGTAGAGATAGTACGTCGACTAAATTAGTTCATTAAGTTCTAACTGGCGTATGCTTTATAATTACTGTTTTTTTTAATCAACGTTACATGGAAGCAACTCAATATTATAAACATGGGACAGATTTTGGAATATATAAAATGAGCCACCTCAAAATTTTTAAAGACCTGCAGTT